AAAAAAGAAATTTTTTTGGTAAGTATGTATAGTATGTTATTTGTGTATGTGTGTGTGTTTTTAAATATTATTTTACTCTGGTAAGAACACATAACGTGAGATCTACTCTCTTACATGTTGAAGTGTATTATACAGTATTGTTAGCTATAGGCACAAGGTTGTACAGCAGATATCTACAACTTGTTCATCTTGCATAATTAAAACTTTACGCCCATTGATTAGCAATTTTCCATTTCCCCTTTGCCCCCTTTGTTTTTTTAAATGGATTAAAAAATATATATGTATATATTCATATACATATATTTGTACATGCAGAGACTATTGCTGGAATACTTAAGAAACTAACAAATAACCATTAATAACATTGGTTGTCTCTAGGGAAGTAAACTGGTTAGCTGAGTAATAATGACAGGAGGGAAACTTTTCACTATTTACCTCGTTGTACCTTTTGAATTTTGAAAATTTTGAATATATATCTATTTTTTTAATGAAATTATTTTCAATGAGTAAAACAAGTTGACTGTAGCCATGTGACCATGTAGCTATGCCAAATGAAGTTTTATATGTATATATTTTAAGTTCTAAAAGAAGAAATAAAAGAGTTGATAGGTAAGGAATTGCAGACTCTTCCAGGATACAGACCAAGTTTTCTCCATGAGTTATGCACCCCAGAATGCCTACTACTATGCACTGCACATAGGAAATGCTCAGCTAGTGTTAAATTGGCTACCACATTCTTTTCTCGAAAAGCTACTGTAGCATTAAAAGATTTTTTTGAGAACTACCTGTTCTATTTTTTTAAAGTATTTCCTTGTTATCCACATCTATATGTTTTTTTTTTTTGTCTTTTTTCGTGACCAGTAACGGGATCGCAACCCTCAGTGTCGCGCCCGTACGGCGACCGGCAACGGGATCGCAACCCTCGGTGTCGCGCCCGCACCGTGCTCAACCAGTGAGCGGACCGGTCTCTATATGGGATCCGAACCCTAGGTGGGAGCGCCGCCGCGCTCCCAAGTGCCGCACTCTACAGAGTGTGCCACTGGGCCGGCCCCACATCTATATGTTTTTATACAGTTGCCAAAATTATGTAGATTCTTTTGCATGCTTTTCCCTCATCTCCCTTACCTTTACAATTTTTTTGATAATTAAATTTGAATGCCTGCATAAAACTTTTTTTTTTTAATGTATCATAATGACTCTAAATAACTCTCTAATTATTGGACACTTGGCATTTTGCAGGAATTGAATTGGTGTGTAGACGTTCGAAGGATTTCATTGACGTACACTATGCTTGTTTCCATTGTCATGGAAGTTGTAAATTATGGAATCTCTACACAATGCTTTAGGTAGCTATTAAAAATGAATATTTACTAATATGAAAAGCTGTCTATGATATATGAAAAAAGATATAATATACAATACCATTTTTGCATAAAGACATGCTATTTATAAAGGCATGTCTCTGTTTTTAAGTTTGTAGGAGAGGAGGAGATTCTGCACCTGGCCCCTTGGCCTCTTACCTGTGCTGGTTTGAGCACTAAGGTATTGCCTGCTGCCAAACATGCAGCACTCTTCCATGCCAGCATCATCAGGGGGTAATTCCAGGGAATGATAATGGCACAGACACTGCAGGGGAAGAAATAAGACATCCTTGGTTGTCTCGAACTAACAAAACTCTTAGGAGTCCCTTGAGGCACTCTCCTTGTCTTACCCAAGCGGCTCCTTCTTGGTGAAGGTCAGATTGCGATTTGGACGGGCCTGATTGATGGGAATTGTAGAACCCTAAAGAATAAAAAAAGTTTCATCTCAAAGAATCCATTTTCTGTCCTCTCTTTTTTTTCTTAGCTGATATAAAAAGATAGAGTTTGATTTATAAGAAGCAAATCCATACCAAAAAAGGAACTGCTATTTCTCTATCAAAAGCACCACGGAACATAGGTGAATAAACATATTTCTAATTTAGTTACTCTCCATTCCCAATTTCTTGGCTTGGCAGAGAATGTTAATCGCTTGCCCAATATCCATTCTCCCCTCTTTCCTTAGTAACAGAATCCTTGTATTAATAGTGGAGACAGCAATGTGCCCAGATAAGACACAGTGTTTTCTAGTCTCCATTGCAGATGAGATGGTCAATGGAGGATTAAGCACAAGGCATTAGGAGGGGAGTGCTCTTTAACATAAGCTAAGCTCAAGCATGTGCTCTTTTGCCCTTCCCTCCACTTCCACATCCTCCTCTTCCTGCTCAATATGTTGCTGAAATGGCTGGCACTTGTGACGGTTATCATGAGACCATTAGACATTGTGAGGGTGGAGGTCATATGGTACTAAGGATGGCCTGGCAGAGAAAGAGAGAAGGAGCCTGCATCTCACATACTAGCTCCGACCGCTTGCCTTTGGGCTTCTTGAAAGTGAGAGAAAAATAAACTTCTTACTTAGGTTTTCTGTTATACATGGCCAGATTTAATCTCAACGAATTCACAACAGTGGTCTTTAACTGGAGCTATTCATTTGCTTTGCCACATAAAATATTATTGCTATTACTAACACAAGTGTACAGTTTCTTATCTGAAACCCTTCTAGCCAGGTGTGTTTAAGAATTTAAAAAGTTTTGGACTTTAAAAACATAATATAGTATATATACCTTATATTATGTTGCATTATCTACTACCCACTGTAGGATCTAAGGCAGCCCTCTATAATCAAACACGTTAATATTTACTCAGCAAAACATGCATATTCACTCTAAGTGATATAAATAAAGATTATAAGTATACATATGTTCATTCAGGTCAGGGTTTGGCACCAAATGCATTTAAACTAATCAAACAAATTAATTTTCAGGTTTCAGAGCTATTTGGATTTCATAATTGAGGAGAATTTAATTCATAATTCAGAGCTATTGGATTTATAATATGGACTGAACCACTATTACTAACTACTTACATATGCATGACTTTGTAGTTGAACGATAATAAAAACTACATTTTTGTGCAAGAACCTACTGTGTTGCAGACTTGTATAATACTGCAGTATATAAATACTTATTTCTAATTCTCATAACATACTTGCAAAGTATGTATTATTGTGACCATTTTACAGAAGAGGCAGGTAAGGCTCAGAGAGATAAAATAACTCTAACATCAGCTGGTAAGAGTAAGTGGCAAAGCTGAGACTTGGATCCAGATCTCTCTGACTCTATATCAACATTGATGACAGCAATGTGCCCAGATAAAATATTATATTTCTCATTCTCCTTAGCAGATAGCAATGGCCAAGGAGAGATAGAAGCACAAGACTTTGGGAGGGTGGGAATGCTTTTTAAAGCCCTTTATCCCTTCTCCACTTCCTCCCTCTTCCCCACTTCTTCCTTCTTGCTGCTGGGAATGTGGCTATGATCGCTGGTTCTGCAGTGGCTATCATGAGTCTATGAGCAGCATGCATTCTGCTGTTTGCTACGGGCCCTACCTTTTGTATCCCCAATGCTGAGGCCAAGTATAATTGTCATTTACCATCACACATGTGCTATTTATTATCTTATAGTAAAAGGAAAATGAAATATTTATTGTATTCATGTCTTCCTCAAAATTTTTCTCATAATCAGTCTGCTTCAATCATCTACATTAGCTCTCTGGCCTCTGTAGGCATTTGAATTTGTAACCCCTATATGATACCAGGCTTCTCCCTATACGTCTAAAAGACTCTAGATACCCTTAGGAGGCATTATAGTAAAGTGCAAAGAATATCATTACAATTTAGATTCAGAAAATCTTGAGTTCAACCTGATTCTATGGTTTACTTGCTATGGATTCTAGGAAAGGCATTCATTTCCTTAAGCTTCTGTTTCCTTACTTGTAATAAGGAGATAATAGCTGTCCATTTACCTCACATGGTTATTATAACTTTTGCTATGGTCTGAATGTGACCCCCAAAATTCATGTGTTGGAAACTTAATCCCCAATGCAACAGTGTTGGGACATGGAGCCTAGTGGGAGCTGTTTAGGTCATGAGGGCGGAGATATTGGACTACTGCCACTATAAAAAGGGCTTGCAGGAGTGGATTTGCCCTATTCTGTTTTTCTGCTACTTGAGGACACAATGTTCCTTCTCTCCAGAGTTTACAGCAACAAGGTGCCATCTTGGAACCAGAGACCAAACCTTGATCTCTGGACTTGATCTTGGACTTTCCAGCTTCCACAACTGTGACAGAATAAATTTCTGTGCTTTATAAATTACCCAGTCTCAGGTGTTCTGTCATAGCAGTGCAAAATGAACTAAGACAACCATGTTATATAGTTGAGAAAACCTACATACAAGGTGGATCTGACACAGTGCCTGGAACAAACAAGTAAATGTTAATCCCTTTTCCTTTTGGAATGAATAACATTTATGCTTACCTGAATTTTATCACACCAGCCAGAAAAATATCTGAATGTTTGCACAGACATTCCAATGTGAGTCTTCAGAGCCAAGGTATAGACAGCCCCTGAATCAAGGGCTTCAATGGTTGCCAGCTCTTCTTGGTTCTCTTCCAGTAGGTCTGCAAGTCTTTATGGTCAGTGAAAGAAATTCATTCATCAAACATTGACTGAGCCCTATTACGTATAAGGTATCATCCTAAGGACTGAGAATTCAGAGGTGAACACAAATGGATCACATCTCTGCCCTTACGGAGATCAGAGTCCAGTAGGGAAGATAGATATTAAACAAATAATTCCATAAACAATTTGCTTCAAGAATTACAAAGGGAAAGCAGAAGGTGGTGAAAGCATGTATAACTTGCCTCATATATGTATAAGAAGCAGTGATTTACCGTGACTGAGCCATGGTAAATCAAGGAGATCAATAATAGAAAACAATGGGAATGTGGATGGTTCATGACTGTACAGGAAGAGGTTAGAGGGCAATCCATAGCCCTTGAGGATTTTGGGGCTGGTATAGAAATGTTTCCAGCACTAACGGAAGAGGACAAGGTAGAAACAAATGGAATGAATCACAAACACAACATATTTCTGTTTGGTGTCCAGTTTCTGTGGGAAGATAAGTGCAGGACTGCATGATGGCTAGGCAATAGAATTCATCTTTTGTGTTCACCTCCTCCATTTGTTTTCCTTCCTTCCTTCCTTCAGTAGTTCTCTGAGCTGTTCCTTTTGGGCCATTCGAGAGTAGGGCTTGAATCCCCTTCCCCCAATGTTTCTTCCAGATCTTGCTGTAAGATATCTTTTGACCAAGGTCAGACATTTGGCTTTCGGCAAGCAGAAAATGGAATTTATGATAGAAACGAATTAACTCCTGGCATACTTAGTTACTGATTTAAAATACTCCTCCCAGGCCTTAGTATTTTTCCTCCTTGCTCCTATTCTTTACACATCAAGTAGATCTAAAATTTGTCTTTGAAAACAACAGGGTGCTGAATATCTCCACTGGCTTTTCTATTTCCATTCTCCACCCTGCTCTGTGACCCTGGAGGATGACCTTTATAGACTCCCATCACCTGGCTCCCTTGTTCTCTCACTGGAAGGCACCTGCAGGAGGAGAAAGAGGTTGAGGGATTCAGTGCCCTGGCTCCCTCACTGATGGGCTGTGGTTTAGCAGCCGCTGTGTCCCTCCACCAAAGACCACTGTAGTGTGGTCTTCTGCAGCTACAGATCTTGCCAGATTCTAGTGACAGTTCCTTCCTCTGTCCCTTTGTCCCTTCAGACCTTGGAGGAGTAGCAGCTTCCCCCTGCTGCTAGTCCTGCGTGGGGTGCTTCATTATCCTTTGTGGGATTCCCTTGACCTTGCCTATGACTTTGTAAATAGTCCTTTACTAAACTTCTTTTCTTACTAGGACCCTGACTGATACAAGCAATAATACAAAAATCAGGAACTCACATATATGAGATTTTATATGATTCAAGTAACAGAAGGCACATATATAATAGGTGCATACTAGAATGTTTTGCAGGAATTCTTTAAATGTTGGCAATGTTAGCCAAGATCCATTGGTAGCAGACTTGCTTTTCTAAGAAATATAGCTGGGCTGGTTGGTTAGCTCACTTGGGAGAGTGTGGTGCTAATGACACAAAGGTCACGGGTTCAGATCCCCATTCCAGCCAGCTGCCAAAAAAATAAATAAAAAATAAAAAACATACCTGTACATCAGTCTTCCTCTTTCTCTTGCATTCATTCTTCCCCATTCGCCATTTTCAAAAGCATCTTTTGCTGCTGCTACAGCTTTATCAACATCCACCAAAGAAGCATAGGCCACTTTGCATATTGTCTATTTCAGTGTAAGTAAAAATAGGTTATGTAAGAGATATATAAAAATGATTCTTGAAATTAATCTCATGTTAATAGGAAAATAGTGTATTACTTATTAAAATCCAAAGAATTTTATGATGAAAAATTAATACATCCAGCAATACCATAAAGAAAAAGAAACAATTATAAGATGAAAATTATGAATATGAAATTGGTACTTTATGTGTTACACTACATTATGGAAGAACACATTTAGGATGACTATATACAAAGGTACTTCAAAAAGTTAGTGGAAAAATAGGATTAAAAGACAATACGAATCCTTCCATGAACTCATATTTCTCCTAGTGCCTTAGGGAAGCTGAATTTCTTGCCATGAGTTTTCAAAGTCTGAAAATTTTTTTCCACAGGTAGCTCTACATTGAGGGATGTCTCTGATGTGTATTGATACAGCTATATGTCTAAATCATCATAAATATTCATATTATGAAATAGGTTACTATGGTTAACAGCAGCCAGTACCAAAATCAAATAGTTGAAAGAAATGCATGAAGTACGTTTGTAGAAGTGCTTGGAGGCATAGCAATAGAATAAAGTAGCTTCTTAAAGTCTGCTTGTTTTACAGCTGTGCATAAACTAAAAATCCATGACCACACTAAATTACTCACAGATCCATCTGTGGGGTTGATAGTGTCGTAAGTCTTTCCATCATCTGCATCTATGAACTGTCCATTTATGAAACACTGATAGGGCATTTTTACTGTCATTTCATTGACCTCCTTTGAAACCTAAGAGAAAATTATGTTAATTCAATGAAATTCTGTGCTTATCAATTTGATAACAAATAGCAATAAGAAGCTCATTTCTCTAACTCAGAGGAAGACATTAAGTCAACGGGATCCTGGTTCATACCATCTGGAAGAGTCAACCGTATGTAAGATTTGGGCCTCAAGATGCTCAGCTTGGCCACTGAGGCAGGAGGTTAGCAACTGATGACAGAAGTGCTCTAGGCTGGGCTTTACAGAGATCTGACTGTCTTCCTTACACAGGTGAAAGAGAACTCAAAGACCTTCAAATGATGGAAACACCACCATCTAGTGGCAGCACTGACGGAGCACAACTAATACTTCATGTACATCCTTGAAAATGCCTTTGTGGATAGGTTTCCTCTCCACTGGTGCCACTTAAGGTTTTCTTTCCTTAAGTTCCTCCCAATTTTCACTTTCTTTCTATTACATATGTGTTGCCTAAATTGTACTCCCTGCCATTGCCTAGCAAGCAAATTTATGTTTGTCAATTAATTTCTATGATGCTCAGTTTTTTCAACAATAAAATGAGATGATATCTGCTTCATACAGTTATTGCAGGGAATAATTGAGATAATATATGTGAAAGAGCATTATTGGCATAAAATTTCATATCACTGCAAGGTATAAAAAAGGAAATTTAATTATTAAAAAAAATGTCATATGGAGAAATCGGTAATTTTAAAAAAGGAAAAAACAGCAAGAAATTATCTTGCCTTTCCTCACACCAAGTGCTCACGTTCTATGAGGTATTTCCATTGTGTTTGGTAGGATGTGATGAAGGAAACTTCACGTGAATTGATGTGTTCAATCCCTGCACATAGTTTGCTCTTCTAAAATCACTGTTCTGGGAATATGCTGAGTGTCTTACGTGTAGCATCTAATTTGATTTTCCCAACCACCCTATAAGGTGGATATTATTATTATCCCATCTAACATATCAGGGAACTGAGGCTAGCCCAAGGTCATACAGCTAGTAAGCTGTGCTACTTGGATTCAATCCTAGGTTAATTGGACTCCAGAAAAGACCTGAGAAGGCCCTCATCTCTCTCATCTGGCTGACCTTGAGGCTCTG